GAAATTAAAAGCTTCCGGGTAGTAGCTTGTCTCGAAACATTTCTCATTTCATGAACAAAGCATGTCTAGGAGAAAAAGAAAGATGCTTTTTGTTACACAATCTTAGTTTTCAATGTGTTTTTATCCAAACTAAACCTGTCCTTCGAAATGAAAGTTATTTACTTCAGATGTTACAACCACAGGACGATATTATTGACATAACTTGAAGTGAATGGAATATTGTCCGTTTCACTGATTACTTTGCTTTTAAAAAATTAGTTTAGGGAGGAATGTACTGGGCTTGAATAGTTTCATTCAAAAGTAGTACTCTATATACAAAAAGCGAAAAACGGAACAAGCTTACATATAAAATAATTAACACATGGGGCACACGTTCTGTGTTAATTTTAGATCAATATGATCTACGAATTATCTTGATGAGACTACAATGTGTGAGCGAAGATTGGGCAAAAGAAAAGATTAAAACGATTAAGGGAGATAGTGCAAGTAAATAGATACATAGAATGTTGAAGCATACCAGAATGAAGACAAGGCTAGGAGCAAGGATGGGGTGGGTGGCGGAAGATGCAGAGATATAGATAGATAGATAGATAGATAGATAGATAGATAGATAGATAGATAGATAGATAGATCGTTCACACGTTTACCATTGTAGCTTCTCATCAAGAGGAAAACATCATGGAATCTCAGGCGTTACTCGCCGGTTTTCGTTCTGGAAGACACAGGTTCAAACCTTGTGTTTAGCTCCAAGGGAAGTCAGAGGTATCGATGACTGGGCCGGAACCGTTGACTGGGCTTGCGCAGTAGCATCCCACTTTGACCAGAATCTGTTCCTTTTTCATGAGGGCGACCCCATCCTTACAACCCACGCGTCTGAAAACTGTAGCGTTTACCTCCAGTCTTTGGCAGCTCATTGAGGTACTTTTCAGACATTCAAGGCACAGACATTTCGCCTCACGAATATATCTGGAGAGGAAGAAAGGAGGGAATGCGAAAGTGAATATAACGGTTTGGTTAATGAAGAAATTGAGTATTAACACAAGGAAAGAGCGAGGAAGTAAAATTTAGCTGATATGATTACATAAAAAACTTTGCCCTTCCTTTTAGATTACTTGTAGATTCTACTTTTTGTGTTGCGAAAGAAAGTTATTTCTGTATGAATCTGTATTTTATTGAAAGTTGGACAACATGACTTGTGTTAAAAAATCCCTTGACAAATAGATGTATAATTGCAATAAAAAAAACCCCAACAAAACAATTAATGAAGATGGGGTAATGTAGACAATATAAAAAGCATTATATTTATCATAAGATAATACTAAAGACAACACAACACACGAGGGTGGCTAAAGATACATGGTAAGAAGTGTGTTTACCTTGGGTAGACGTCGGCTCCGTTGTCTTTCTGCACGTAAATCCACGGGCAGGTAGAGCGGAGGTTCAACTCTCGTCTGGGCCACCAGGAGCCGCTAGAGGCTGGACACTGGTCAGCTGGGGGCTGGTCTGTCGGGATAGATTCAACCTCAGGCTGTGCAGGTTCCAGTCCGATAAACTGGTCAGCTTCCAGAAAGTTGTTGAGGTCTCTCACTTGCTGGGGCATGTCTTCTGGGAGCGGGCAGCTGGCGTCGACCTCACGTTTGGCGCGGAGGAAGGGGTTCAAATCTGACGATGTGTGGACGAGTGAGGAGGAGGAGGAAGAGGTTGACGGGTCTTCGCTGTGGAGGAAGATTGGACCCAAAGTTTCTCCGGGGGATCGGATACGGCTAAAGACATCGTCTGAAGATGAATCGACGACGGAAGAAATGGAGGAGGAAATCCCGTTGTTGTGTTCGTCAACACTTCGGAGGGCGGAAGAAGACATGATTGAGTTGAGCCATCTGGGAGGTTTGAGAGCGCCAAACCTGGAGTTGTGTCCGTCGTCCTCTGACAAAGCCAGATTGACAGAACCCCCGATGATGTGAGGTTTGGCCTCACAGAAAAACAATTGTACTGCGAGCACTGCTAGCATTTGGATGGTCATGGTTTTCTTTAAGAACTTTGAGATGTTCATCTGTAATTGGTTTTGATCTCACTTGAGTTATATGGTTTTAGTGGTCTCAGAATATCACGATTAGTCTAATTCACTATCTTGTTGGATGCTTCAGTTCTGTTTGTTGGTCTCTGGTATGAAGTTTTAATTACAGAGTGTTTCTTTACTAAAGTAGGTTTCACGAATGATTTGAATAATGAATCTTTCTTCTTGAAACTGGAAAATACCTACTAGGTTATTTACGAAAAGTACCTTTTATATAACGTCTCAGCAAGATGCAGATCTATTTGCTAAGTAGTTGTCAAATGTAGTCAAAGCGAGTTAACAGAAACAAGTTGTTCTCTTGTTTGTTGTGAGCGGTTCACTGTTTCTGTGCTGACTGCTGGCTTGTCGAAAACACCGTGAATTTATAGGCCCGACGAACGCTGATATCGCCTGTGGGCGGAACGTCACACAGCTAGGGAAATCCGTCCTGGTGGACGGGCAGAATTATTTTCGTCACGTACATCCTCGTTTGTTAATCTGAGACAACGATTGGCTGAAGGACTGCGTGGGCGTGGGAACTGTTTGATTCCTGAGTGGGGAGGGTTTTTTAAAAATGTATTCTCTCTCTACGATGCTGCATCACGCTCTGGCGAGGTTGGTCCAAGGGTCTGGGTCGAAGCAGCCCGCTTTGGAAATGATTACAACATAATTTTGATAAGGAAGAAAACAACATTCGCAGTTGTAACTACCGTTTGTATTTACCTCTTCGTTTCGAACACAAAAGTTGCTTGTTTGATTCCACCACACGGAAAATTTGTTTAAAATATTGTTTTTCTGAAGATTGTCCAAACAATAACAGTCTTCTCTAGGTTTCAATGCTAAGGCCGACCTCTCCAGAAAAAAGTCGAAATAAATTATGTTACAAGAATGGAGGGAGGAAATATTATTTATTTTTCTAATTATATATATATTATGAGATCAAAACGTGGACCCCAATAACAAGAAAATGATTGTATTGACGACGTTGTCAGGAAAGTAGCCTTGGACGACGGGCCATAAAAATTTAGCTCACACACCCATCCCCCCCCCCCTTTTCTTCTGCCCCACCGCCTAGGTCAATAAGCAAAACAAGACGGAACAAAAGGGAAAAGAAATTTAGACAATAAAATATACATCTATTAATGTTTTCGGAAGTTCGGAACTTGTGTGTGTGTGTGTGTGTGTGTGTGTGTGTGTGTGTGTGTGTGTGTGTTTGTGTGTGTGTGTGTGTGTGTGTGTGTGTGTGTGTGTGTGTTTGTTGGGGGGGGGGGTTGATTAAGATGATTGTGTTTGTGCACCCTAGTGGACACAACTCGGCTCTAGAAATAAAGTCAAGCATTGTCCTTATTTCTGCAGTTAGACAGATGATAGTTCGGGTGTGTCTGTCAGGTCAAAAAAATATGTTTGGCTTTGTAGTGAAATAAGGCATTCGTCAAAATAATTAGTGTTAAGAAACGGTCACTTTTCCGCCGGTTTGGCAATTTTTATCGAAATTTGTGGGGTTTTTTTGGCTCAACACCTTTCTACCATGGTATGTCCATTTACACTTCAGTGTAACTTATATTGAAAAACATAGGTTAAAGGCACCTAAAAATGTAAATTGTCAGTGTCTACTGACTCTTAGGCTTAGCAAATATACAAACTTTGGTGGCCATTTTCATGCTAATTTTACCCCTGCCCCCACCTCCTTCAAACACAAATATCACAACTTGTATTCCAGATAAACTGGTATTTCTTTCACCCAAAGCAAGGCAAATGAACAAGCCTTAAGGTAATACAAACAACGCCATAGGCTCAAAAATTGACGAGCGTCTGATTCGACCGCGTTGTGACACATATGTCAAAACCAAAAATCGTGACAGCTTCTTGTTACTGATTTGCAGACCTGATCAAGGTTTGTAACCAACAGTAAGACGTCAGGACAGTTGTAGGCCTACAAAGTGGGGAATATCGATGAACATGAATTAGAAGTCTCGCGATGTTTTTGAAAACCTGAAATGGTAGTCTTAAAATTTTTGAAACAGTAAAACAACATCCTTGAGCCTTTTTGAGACAGAAAAATGACATTTTTGAGCCTCTTTTCAGACAACAATGGTTTTAGTAGTATTGTACCGCTTTGAACTACACTAGTAACAAATGTTATATGAGTTTGTTTGTTTGTTTTAAATTCTGGTGTTTTACGGCGCTTGAAACCGCATACGGTCATATGAGCGCTCGGCACCCACAAAACATTTTCAGTTGGTAGGAAATTTTGAATTTTGACCTTGTGGCCGCCGAAACCTACTCATATCGATTTTAGACCACAAAAGAATCTTTAACGTGCACACGGAACATGCGATATTTTTTGCCCATGTCAGAAAAGGCTAGGCGAAGTCTTTCTTACCACAAGATCAGGGGTGTGGCTGAAAGACAGCAGTAAGAAGGGGCCGATGAGCAGCAGTAGAAAGGCTGCAGAAAGAGTCAGGAGCTCAGAGGAGGAGAAAAGGAAGTATGCGTGTGGGAACGTTAATAGAGAGCAGAAAAGGAGATGAAAGGAGACAGTCTTAGAGTAAACAAATGTTCCATCACTACCCGGATTCGAACCCGGGACCTTTGAATAAGAGGCGAACACCATAACCTCTAGGCCAC